CTCCAACTTCTGGACCCAAGGCTCCATCCTCAGAGTCATTCTTTTATTTTATTTTATTCTTTTTAAAGTAGACCATGTTTGTAGCTGAACAGTTTTACTGGGCTGCTTCTTGCCTGTAAAGTTTTGAGAATCCATGACCTTCCTCCTTTTCCTCCATCTTTGTCACTGTCTTGCTGCTGGCATGATTTCCACTGATATTATCAAAACCCGTGCATGTCACAGGAGTCATGTCATTGGATGGAAGATCCTCCTCAGGGCTTTCGTGGATAGTCTCATCTCTGTTTCTGGCTTCTGCTGAGATGGTTGATGTCCATAGTCACATACTCAATTTCTTTGGCACGAGCAAAAGGTTTTCCAGCCACACTCTTGGCCTTCTCTACAAAGCATACTTTCCTAATGGTGTATCTCCTAATATTAGCATCTTTTGCCATCTGCTTAGGCTGAGACTTTCCCAAATCATCAAGTCTGGGCTCCTATTTGTTTAACGATTCCCCCCTTGTTTCCCCTCTTTTCCCTAACATTTTACTAAAAGCAGCAAGAAGGAACTAGCTATACCTACAACACGTTGCTCAGACACCTCGTCTGTCATATCCAAGTTCATCCCTTCCAAGTGCTACCTTCCACACAACCAGAGGACAAAATTCTACTGAGCTTTCTGCTACTACCTAACAAAAATTGCCTTTCCTCCCATTTCCAACAGCGTATTCATTTTCTTCTCAGCCCTAACCAGGAGCAAACTGAAAATTTCTATCAACATTCAGCTTAGGACAATTTAATATTCTCTAAGTTATTATAGGCTTTTTCTACTGTGCTCTTCACTTTTTCCTGGGTCCTCATTGGAAGAATCTTTAACATCCATATTTCTACCAACAGTCTGTTCTAGGCAATCTAGGCCTTTTCTTTTTTTTTTTCTTTTTAAACTTTTTTTTTATTGAGTTATAGTCATTTTACAATGTTGTGTCAAACTCCAGTGTAGAGCACAATTTTTCAGTTATACATGAACATACATATATTCATTGTTGCATTCTTTTTCGCTGTGAGCTACCACAAGATCTTGTATACATTTCCCTATGCTATACCGTATAATCTTGTTTATCTATACTACATATGCCTGTCAGTATCTACGAATTTTGAACTCCCAGTCTATCCCTTAATCTAGGCCTTTTTTATCATGGGCTTTAAATTCTTCCAGCTTCTGTTTATTACCCAGTTCCAAAGCCACTTCCACATTTTTAGTTATTTCCTACAGCAGCTCCCCTCTTTCAGGCAGTAAAATCTGTATTAGTTTTTCAATGGCTGCTATAACAAATAACAAAAATTTAGCAACTCAAAACAACAGAAATTTATTGTCTCACAATTCTAGAGACGAGAAATCCAAAGGCAGCATCACTGAGCCCACACTCCCTCTGGAGACCCTGGGGAAAAACCATTCCTTGCCTCTTCCAGCTTCTGGTGGCTACTAGTTTCACTGACTTGTGGACATATCACTCCAACTTCTGCCTCTGTGGACACACTGCCTTTTTTCTCCTCCCCTCTCTCTCTTTTTTTAATTGAAGTATAGTCAATTTATAATGTTGTGTTAATTTCTGGTGTGATTAAGTTATATA